CACAGTGTATAATTAGGGGCTCATAACATTAGCCTATCAAAGTCAAACCAATGAGGTGACCCTGAATCCCTAAATACTAGTGGATTTCAGTTGCACCCTCTAAAGGACATGCACACACAAGGTATGGGGGTTCTTCTCTTGGCAAATGTGCATACCTCTGCTTAGTGGATCCCTTGAAGAGTCAGCTTCCCATGCTTTACGACTACTTATGCATATGTTATGACAAGGTTCCGAAAGACAGGGATTTAGGCCAATGCCCTCTGCTGGCCCTAACTTTCCCATACAAGGCAATCATCGAGCTCAAAGCATCATACACATAAACCCACATTGCCCTAGCCTAATCATCCAGTCTGACCTAATTATCCAATCATGAGGCCCAATCGAGCTCAATAACAATAACAATAACCAACCTGACTAGAGGCAACCATGAAACCTCTCAGTGCCTCTTATATATACACCAATCCTCCCTAGGACTGTCCCATAATCACTCAACCGAACATTTCTTATGTCGTTAGCGTGGTCAATCAATTTATGCATTTTTTTTACCACGTAAACCCCACTTCGATGCTGTGTACAGAATATTAACATATCTTAAGTCTACACCAGGGAAATATCTTGTTGTTGCCGTTTGCACATATGCTAATTGGGCTAGTTGCCAAACTGATAGATGATCCGCAACTTGCTATTGTACCTTCATTTTGGGAAACCTGGTTATTTAAAAAAGCAAGAAGAAAAATATGGTGGCAACATCAAGTGTTGAAGCAGGATACAGAGCAATGGCTCATGGTAGTTGTGAAGTAATGTGGATCAAAAGTGTTCTTTTTTATTTGGGTGTTAGAGTTAAGCTTCCCATGACTCTATTTTATGATAATGAAGCAGTCATTCATATCGTAGAAAATCTTGTTTTTCATGAAAGAAATACATTAAAGTCGATTGTCACTTTATCAGAGAGAAGGTTGCTGCGAAGATCATTCCGACTTCTCATGTGAAGTCTAAAGATTAACTTGCATATATCTTCACCAAAGCCATTCGACAGGACAGATTAAAATAATATTACAAGCAAGCTGGCCATGATTGATATCTATGCACCAGCTTGAGGGGGAGTGTTAGAAATAAAAAGAATAAGCTTTATTGTATTTGATATATAGAATTGTCATATATCTTTTTATTTAGTCCTTATTTGTCTTACGTCTCTAAATAAAGGCACTATTGTCCATAAATTGTATTTGGGGTTACTACTTAATATTATAAGAGGTGTGGAGGTCACATGTGACCTCCTAAGCCACTCACTTTCCCTCTCTATCTCTTTATCTCACACACATCTCTCTCTCTCTCTCTCTCTCTCTCTCTCTCTCTCTCTCTCTCTCCCCCCCCTTCTCAATCGTCTTTATTTTCTTTCCTCTCTTTCTCACTCTAGATCCTACCAAATTGTTTCCTTCTGTACTTGAATTTCAACTAAGTGCACCCTAATGATAGTTATGGGGATCGCGTACTTTGGTAGGCGACCCCTTCTGGGAACTCGATGCAAAGATCTCATAAAGGGATTTTCTAGGGATCACCATTTTTTGTAATTTAGGATCTCCATCCCTTTTCAAGGGAATGAGGTCTGCTAATCATGTGTTTTGAGTCCCCGGCTTTTATGGGATCTAGTTCTTGAATGGTCCCAAGAGTCTTGGGCTACCAATTCTATTAGATTGTAACACAAGGATCCATATATTGCATCCAAATTCTATTACATTTGTAACCTCGGTAATCATTACAATAACTTTTGTGTTGGTGCTTCCTTAAAGGCAAAATATTTTCTTAAGAAGTAAATGTATTATCATATAAGAAGTAAATATATTATGATAATTTAGGTTTTACAAACTACATAAATAATCCCTCACGTTCCTTCATAACGAATGCTTTGTCATCCCTTTTTATGAGCAATCCAATATTTAATAAACAATAATAAAAAGTAAATTTCATGATTATATAGTTTCAAGCTACACTTTATTACATGAGCCTTTTTTTATCTTGTTCAACGAAAAAGATAACGACACATACTTTACAAGAATCAAACTACATAAACTATAAAAGTCATAATTTACTAAATGAATTGATTTTTAATGGATACAAATTTAAGATTACATATTATTAATTCAGCAACATTGAGAACTAGGTTGTGTAGTCAGGGAGCCCTATTTAAACTTACATGAGGGCCTCGTTTTCAACTAAATGAAGCTCTCTCCTATAAAATTTCTCCCTCGCTCCATACTATGTTGGATCATTTTTCCTATTGCGCTTCCGCAGTTGAGGTATTCACAAACCTGCACTCTGGAACTTTGGATCTTAACTAGAGGATCTCGCTACCAAACATTGTAGTACTCAATCTTAACCAATTGAGGAACTTGATCCCTATTAACACATGGATTGTGCTCCTTATGTTTGAGGTAGTACGGATGTCGATCCCCCTCAAATGGATCTTCAAGGTAGACTCAATCCCTCGATCCTGCTCCCAAACCTGGAACCATTCCCAATCTCGTTCCAAACAACTACGACCCTAACATTGCTTGCAAACGGAGAACGGCAGTTACTAACATTATTCCATATTCCTAATGGATATCCTTTGTTTCGTTGTTGCCTCGACAGCCACCTTAAGTCATCAACCACCTTTATTATTTGATTAATTAATTAAAAAGTTTCTAAAATATACTTGAGCGTAAGAAGCCCTGATTAGCCCTAAATTTGTAAATTCCTAGACATTCCCCATATTAGTAAAGTTTTTATAAATTTATTCTGGGGAAAAGTTTTCAAAACATTTTTGGATCTTTTATTTAAGTTTCCTATGTTACTATAAAAATATTATTTCTTTTTTAAATGAAAAGCTTGTTCATTTCTGTAAGGCTTTCTAGAGAAACTGCCCTACTAGTTTTGCAAGCTCCAATTTAAGAAACTTGTACCCTAACTTTTGAACTTTTCATTTTCAGTATTATTCTGTTATCTTGGCTACTAAACTTAGATGATATCTGCAAATTTTCCTCAAGTATATGTACATGTTTTCAGCTTAGTTATGAAGAAAACTAACGATATCATAGGTGTACCCACTAATGCAACCCGATTAAAAAAACAGTGATGAGTGGCATCACTTGGCAGTAGGAGTAGTGCGACGACATTTAGCTGTTTGGGGTTGGGAGCGGGACCTAAAGCGCGACAAGGATTGAGACAGAAGGATCATGAAATATTAAAAGATCCCAATGGTTGGAAGCGTTGCCCACGCAATAAATATTAGGAATCTAGATCCCTAAATGTTACGGATTGATATCCCAACTTTTTGGGGATGTTGATCCGAACTTTTTGTGGATCTTGCTCCCAAATTAAAGAGTATATATAATCTAGGATTATCTATATTCTTTAAAGTATGGATCACTTTACTTATAGCAAGCAAGCAATGCAACTATTTAAAAGTATTATAGTGTTGTTATCTAGCTATAAACAAAGGAAATTATTAGTTTAGTTGTTGTCTTGGTCTTTAAGGTCGGGGTCGAGATCCCTAACAAATAGGAATTGGGATCCCTAATAGCGGGAATCATCGTCATCATTATAATTCAAACCTTATCCCATCTGCTTGGGGTCTGCAAATGGTGGGAATCAAGATCCCAAAATTCAAAAATTGAGTCCCCTTTCTCAGAGTGGCAGAGCAAGATTACTGAGCGGGACTGCTACCATGATGGAACATCCCGGTAACTATGCTACGATATAACTACTAGTGAAAAAAAGCAGATGTACTTTGATTTCTAGTAGACTCCAACACTGATGTATTCCCCAAAGTAGCAAGCAAATCATGGATCACTATGTCAAACTGCCACTTGGCCCCATAGACAACCAAGTCGATTGCATTCACTAAGTAGTGCCTTTCTTTCTATTCACAAAGGAGTGGAGGCATACATGGAGCGAAACTGCATCAGTGAACCACATGAAGGACCTGGATCAAGGTATTACCCATAAATGTTGCAGTTTTACCAACAAAACAGTCATCTTTACGCCTGTAGTTCTGAGACTTATTCGGTGATAGAGTTGGGTAAGCAAACTTGTAGTATCCTAAATTGTGTTGATATTGGATACACCAGCATTTGAGTTCTTTTATCCCCCTTTTTTCTGATAAGTATCTTTTCTCCCTGTTTCATGATACTCTAAGCCATGTACACCTGGTGGTATGACCTACTTTGCAAAAAATATCATTTTTCACTTTCCAAGATTATTGACTGACATTGTAAAAACAAAATACAGAAGATATATAGCAAAATATGTTCATGTACAACTGTTTCTCCAAGAGTTCACTTTCCAAAATATTATTATTGTAAGTTTCCCAACGATGCCTTCAACTAGGAAATCCTTGTGATCCTGAAGATATCACCACAAGCGTTTTCCATAATTGCTCAAGTGTGTCTTTTATATCATGGCAAATGCTCAGGAACAGTGACCCATTAATGAATGGAAAAATAATGATTTAGCCATGCCAGGCAACCATACTCACAGCTTCCATTCAACAACATTCAGTTAATTCAATTGTGTACTTCTGTCAAGGGGAGATATATATGCTCTCCGAAAAAGGCTCCCTAAGTTTCAAACAAATATAAAAATTGCAGTCTGAGGTGCTCTTTCCAACTGTGACTGGGTCATATTTCAATGGGTTAACAAATTTTAAATCAAATTATTTCGTAATCCATAAAAATAACAGACAGTTCAAAATACACATATTAAATAGAAAACTAGAGTATGAAAGAAAGTAGTATTCACTCTTGCATGTATTTGAAATAAAAAAGATAAAAATAAAAGTTCAAGTATAAGTCTGACAAAAATAGAAATCTTACAAGATATGGACTACACTCACAACGAGGGGATAATAAGAACATTTATAAGTTGTTGCAAGGAACTTTGAACAAATTGATAGAGGGTAAAAGTTGCATTATGAAAAAAAAAAAAGAGGTTTCGTTTATGGAATGGGATGGAATACTCACCATTTTCGTGGAGAAAATCTGCAACTGAACTAGCTTCTGCATATGCTTGAGACAGAATTTTTTCTGGGGCATCCATTTTCAATGGATACCTCATAAACATCTCTTGTAGTTGAAAGTAGCCTTGACCTGCAGAGAATGTAATAAGTACCTCCTATAATTAATATTTCCCACCTGATGTTCTCCATGAGTCTCTTGAGATGTAGAACAACATTGAGTTCATTGAATTATTCGCTTTAAGAAAATCAAATATCTAATTACCGCACATAATTAATATTTCCCACCTGATGTTCTCCATGAGTTACTTGAGATGTAGAACAATACTGAGTTAATGGAACTATTCTCATTAAGAAATTCAAATATCTCATATAAAATCTGAAAGTTAAGAAGCATATTGGGGAGCCAAAACATCCAACAACAAATAAGTTTACGGAAAATTTGAAAGAGAAAAATTCTCTGTTATTATATTGAAGTTAAAGGAATTGTATAATAATCACGAAAGGTGAGCATGTGATTTGTACTAGGATATGATGAACCCCAAAACAATATAGTTTATGAAGCACATCACTTGAACCAAAAGGAAGCCCAACTCAATTCAAAGTATCATTCACAAGCATTGGTAAACTCCGAATGTTAGCATACACAAAGTAATTACCACTACAGGAAAATGCACTCCCAGCTTGACATATAGTGCACCTTTTAGGCAATCCAAGATGTAGATGCATGAATTTAATATAGGATATTACCCAACATGTCTCGCAATGGCATAGTATAGTATAATTTGCAAGCAATGGCCCTTAATTTACTCCTTACAGCGAATCAAGAGTCTCAAAATGCTAAATGCCCTTGTCAGAAAACTCAAGAGGAAACCAAAGTTCTTGTTTTGGAAGAAGTGAGCTTGTGACAAGGAATTAAAAATGCCATTACGAGTAAGAACTGAGAAGAGACTTTCTAAAAGATTAAAATAAATACAAACTATGACACATGGATGAATCCCTTATAGAAATATCTTACTTGATCTAATCTGGATAAAGCTTAACTCTAGCAATGACCCCTCTTGGGTCCCGTCCAGGTGAGCCCACAGCAACACCTCTGGAATCTAGAAATCTATTTTGCGCTCTTACCCTCATTTTTAGTCCAAGATCAGATATAGGCCCTGGAGAGGCGACAAAACTCTTTTCTGGATTTACCCTGGGCTAGATGAAACACCTCTTAAGGACCTCCATCACAGCCTGTTCTTGCTGGCCCATGAATCTAATGCAACAGTGGAATCCCACTTTCAGTTGTTGGGCAACAGGAGGGCGTGCAGCCCCATCTTTAGAAGATCCTTTTCTGACTCTGAATTCCAGGACTTTACAATCCCTTCCAACACCCTAGGCTCCATTTTCCTTCCTCAGCAGGGGACAGGACAGCCTCATTTGGACCCCTAATCCCTTGGGAAACTTTTTGGTGGCCTCCTTTTACTCATCTCTAGCCCACCCCCTAAGCCCCACCCACATTCCCTCCTCTATCATGAATAAAGCATGAATCCCTCTCCTCTCCCCCCAAAATTCAGTATTTCAATTGGATAGCTGATTCGGAGAGAGCCCTCACAGTGGACCAACTACAAAGAAAGGGAATCCAAATCCCAAATAGGTGCATTATGTGTACCAAAGCAGAGGAGAGCAATGCCCCCCATTTCATCCACTGTAAGATGGCCTCATTACTATGGGCTGAACTCCTCGAGTTATTCCAATGGCAGCGGGTTACTCGACTAAACATTTCCCATCTTCTTAGCTCAACTTTCTCAACCCCGTTGCCCAAGGCTGGCACCCTGCTGTGGAGAGCATCGGTGGCTGCCACTTTGTAGGTAATCTGGAATGAAATGCCAGAATTTTTCGAAGCCAACATCTTCCGTCGAAGCTCTACTAGAAAAGATTAAAGAAGTAGTCATTTTTTGGGCAATCCATCACAAGCACTTCAAAACCCTCTCCCACTCTGCTTTTCTCCACAGTTGGGCCCCCATTCTATATGTCAATCCTCAAAGGCCCCCTCCCTCCTTCCTTTGGAGACCACCGGAAGAAGGCCAAATCAAATTAAACTTTGACGGGTACTTTGTCGAAAATCCTGGCCTTGCAGATATTGGTGGCTTGTTTTGCACTCATGACAGCAATATCTTTTGTTCTTTCTCCATCCCGATAGGCATCTCAGATTCCATTGTTGAGGAAACCTCAGCTCCCTGAGAAGAACTCAAAAGATTCGACCAAACTTGGGGCCAATCTTTAACCATTGAGGGTGATTCTTTTAGTGTGATTTCTTGGGCCTCAGGCTTAGCCCCATGGCCTTGGAGACTCGACAGCATATTTGAGGAAATTTGCCATCTCAGTGGGAACTTACTATTCTCATGGAATCACATATGGTGAGAGGCAAACGGTGACGTTGATGCCTTAGCAAAGGCAGCCACAACCTCACCTCATGCCAACCTGTTTCACTCTTAGGGAACCGTTTCTTACTTGGTGTCCCTACCCCAGCGTAGTTGCAAATCAGTGATGTAAAGCAATTTTTGGCCTTTTTAGGCTTTTGTATAGGGCACCCGTCTGTGGGTAGCCTATTTTTTGGGCAGAACCCATTTGTGGGTATTCAATCCCCCTTCTTTCTTTCCTTTTGTACTCACTTTTAGTTTAATAGAGTTAACATAATCAAAAAAAAAGGGGGACATAGGTCTTAACAAATGACCAAAAACCATGTCCGTGAAATTATCATGGATTTGCTAGATTAAAGATGCACTTATATTCAAATGGGTCGAAGATAATGAAAACTACCCATACACCAAATTATTTTAAACCTTCATTCAGTCCTGCCAACCATCCATATATGACTCCCTGATGACAAAACCAAGCCTCCTAATTTTTGTTGATAGGTTAAATTTATTTGTCTTGTCTAATCCTCTAACAACACATCTCAAGGACCAGCCTTTCAAGGATATCCTCCTCCCCCCATAATATTAAATTAGTTCAAATAAACAAAAAAGGCGATGCATAGTAAACTCATTGCTTGAGAAGGATAAGTCCATATACAAGTGGCATAAATGACAATGCACCTTTATGGATAACATTGTGTTGGAGATATGACCCTGATAGATTTGATCCCTTAGTATAATGTTATAAAACAAAGCCTTACTCTGTTGATGAAGCACTACAACACGTAATAGTTCCATGGTGAGGTTCCCCTTTGTGAAGGATACTGGTGAAGGTCACAAAATATTTGAGCCACCTATAGAGAGACGATGTGTATGATACTTAATATATAGCTGACATGGAATTGTCCTTGTTGAGTTTTGTGGCCTTTAAAGGCCTAGAGAGCTTGCAAAAATAAAATTTTATAGTGCAATATGCACTTCAATGGGACTATATGTGTTGACTGACCTAGGGTTGGGTGGTTTATGGCCCTGATTATATCCAAAACCATTACCCCTAGGCATGTGGTATTACCGAAAAGGATTTACAGTGGGTCATCCCTTGTTGAGGTCGGAGAGATGTTCAAGGATGATGTTTATAGGTCAGGAGAACTGTGTGGTCTCCTGTGTGCGGTTGTAGGCTTGTGAGAGCAAGGGCCAAAGCCTCAACAAACTTCCACACGATATGTACACATGACAGCCGTATTACTAAGAAACAACCCTATAAAGAGAATGTATCTAGAGAGCCCCCTTTGATTTGTAGTGACAAGCATTGGACTTGCTCTTAAAGGGGGGAATTGTAATCCAAATTCTAGGATCATGGTTCCACTGTTTATTATTTAACTTTGACAAACCAATGATGAGCCCCTGCATTGAGACTGTGTGTCATGGCTCTTTGTTGTGTTGGATAAGAAAATAATAGTGCATCATGGTTCTTAAGTCAAGGGAGTGTCTTAATTGTCGCTAATTTTGACCAAATGGTATCAATCCACTTCTAAAATATTTTATTTTGGTATTATAAATGCTTTGGCGATTTTACAAATTTTTTTAGAATTTTAAAAATTTATTTCTGCTGTAAATTCATTAAAAATAGTAGCTTCGAAATTTCTATAACTATGAAGGGCACATATGGGGACCTGGGATCCTAGGCACATATGGGACCTAGGATCCATTACCCCCATGTGTGTGTCACCCATGAGTGGGACGTGTGGCCTTATGCAGCTCACATAAAGTCCCTAGGGTGGCACACCCCATTTTTTTTTTTCTATTGCCACTTATAGGTAATAGTTTCAAGTGGTTAGAAACCTTTTAAAATTAAAAAAGATTTGATTCCTATTCAAGTGAAAGTAATATTTTTTAAAGATGGTTTTAATTAGTAGTTTGGTTTGACCAAAACTCTAATTATTTTGACTTCCTAAATATTTTGGAAAGATATTAGGAAGTTTTTTTGGATTGGTTAAAATTCTAATTTAAATAGAAGTTGGACTTGGGTCAAATTATAAAGGGATAAATTTCTTAATAATGCTCCCAAAATCATAATGACTGATTTATAGGATGGATGGCTAATATTTGTTCTATCTCACCCACAAATATTCTAAGTTCCTATTGGTCAAACAGTACCATTGGATAGGCAATACCTAAGGAAGGATTTTAATTCAAATAGGGAAAGGAATTCTTTCTATTTAAACACCATTGAGCCCCTTTTCTCTCATCACATGTATTTCTCTCTCCTCCATGAACCAAATCTCTCTCTTTCATTAAAAATTTTATTTCTCTCTCTCCTCCCTTCCAAAAGGGGTCATGCCAACCAAAATTTGATGAGACAAGGGTGGCACATTAAAACCTTAATTAGGGTTTTGCTATTTGGAGCAGAAAAAAGGATACTCCCAGCCATAGGAGGATTCTAGGCCTTCAAGCCCAACCCTAATTTGGTCCTAAGGGTTCCTACAAATCCTAGTTAGGTTTTTATGCTCTTTGAAACCCTAGAGTATGAGATATTGCCTATGAAAGCTTCCCATCTCTGAAATTACAACAAGATCAAAAAAAACAAAAAGTGCGCCATCGATCAAGGAATCAGGTGTGAGGTATATCAAGACCTATGATGGTCACTCCAGGCAACATCTAGTAAGTCTTCCTAGTTGATTTATTTATTTTTCAGTCATATTTTATATTTTTCTGTGAATTTCTAGGATCC